TCTCTTGGAGCTTGTCTCCTGCCAGCGTCCACGACACCGTGGCAGACTGGCCGGTCAGCTCCTGCCAGCACCCACGACACCACAGCAGACTGGCCAGTCAGCTCCTGCCAGTGTCCAGGACACCACGGCAGACTGGCTGGTCAGTTTTGAGCTCAGTCAGGTTGCAAACCCTTTAAGTTCTTAGCCCAGAGGCCTGAGCACAGCTGCTTCTGTCTGCAGCATTCTCCCCCACTTCAGCTCCATTATTCACGGGGTAGTCTTGTTCCTCTTGTCTACAGAGCACGGCCCCATGCCTGACACATACAGGGTCTGTCAGTCTCTCTCTACACAGTTACAGAGCAGATTTTAAATGCATTTCCAACTCATTAAAAGGCAGGATCATAGAGACCAGGTATCTGCCACCTTGTTAATTTTAAATGAGGTCCAGGTTCAACGTAAAAGCTCAGGAACCCCAGGCTGTCCCGCATCCCAAGGCTGCCCTCTGGGAAGACTGCGAGAAGAGTCTCCCAAGCCCTCGGCTGTGTCCACAGCACTTCCTCACCAGACACCAGCAGGCACATACGGCCGAGTGAATCCGTCTGGGTCTCTGCTCCTCCTGCACTGCTGGGCACAGCGAGCAGACACAGAGCCAGGCAGAGGGACGCTTGCTGATCTTCCTCAGGCAAAAAAAATAAAGGACGTGGTATTGTTCTTATTTCAAGGCCATTTATCTCACAGAGTCATTACTCAGGAAATTTTGTTAAAAATGACAGATTCCTCTCTACCCCCCACCTATAGAAGCACACACAAAAATGTGTGCGGGGGTGTTTTTTACACAACACTTTGCTCTGTTTTAAAAACAAGTCACAACTGACAAATGTCTCAGACACTGAAGCAACCATCATTGTCTGAGAGTTAGCTACCACAGACAGTGAAGCCCTCAATGACCACTGTCTCAGAGTTAGTTAGCCACCCCAGGGCAGACTATACTAGTCCCACACAGCAAACCCCTGTTCATGAACACAAAGTGGATGATGACTGTGGTGGTTATGTTTGTGTGTCAGCTTGGCTGGGCCTGGCTGAGTGGCTGGGCAGCTGGATGTAGTTACTCCCCATGATGAGACTGGCAATCAGCTCCATGGTGGAATCTACTGGAGCAGCTGAGCAGCTGCTTTGGGTATGTGGTCTGCTTCCCATATATAAGAAACAGCTCTGGGAATGATCTCTAGCTTATTGCATGCTTGAACCCTGCATGTAGCCATTTCGTTGCTCAGCAGCCTGCCATGCTCTGCCGACCTTGGGGCTTTCAATGGACTTGAATGAATGGCCTGCTATGTGGTTTGGTAACATCGGAACTGTGCCTTTTTACTTGTCAACCTTGGGCTTCTCAGCCTCAGCAGCCAGCAGCTGTCTGAGTGAAGAAACGCCTCTAGCTCCAGTGGGCCGGGAGCAGGAGGCAGAGCTGGACCCCAAGGTTGAGGGGATTTCACCCAGCCCCTAGAGCCTGGCACTTGGAACTTGTACTTAAAGCCTCCAAACTGTAAGAGAATTAACTCCTGTCTGTTCAAGCCTCCCATTGGTGGTATATTCCTGTCAGAGTGGCACTAGGGAACCAGAACAATGAGCATTAGTGACTAAAAGGACTATGACCTCAGAATTTCACAAACCATCTTCACTTTTCAAAGGCATTAAAGAACAGTTATAGCCATTAAACTGTGTCGCACTGCAGTGAGTAAATACAAGGGTTGTGTCCATTTTCTTGCTTCTGTGGCCCTGGACACAACCGGGGTTCTGTAAAAAGTTGCCGAACGCTACTTACCATTAAGAATGTCTTCAAATCCAACAGTCTCATCATTACCCCTCAAAATATCCAGTGAAAGGTTTGAGCTCGGGAGAAATGGAAGACGCTGAACCTTTGCGGAAAGGATGAAAAGGCAAGATTAGGAAAGAACCCAGAGAGATTATCACTTTTTCTTCTTATTCCTCATTCTTTATTTCCAAAACTCATAAAGGCAAGTGAAACATGAATTCAACCAGTTAATTTAAAAAAATGCCAGTTATTTTTTGACCCAAATCAAGTTTTTAAAAACACCTCAAACTTTCAAGATGTGTAGAGGCAGCACATTGTCGCTCTTATTAACACTTAACAACCCCCACCTGGTTTGCACTTATTTTGAGGCTTAACTACAGCACATAACAGGGGATGAAATCCCACCTCCCAGGGCCTGACACCACACCTCACTCCCAGTGAAGGTGGGATGAGCAAAGTGCTGAAGAGATCCCAACTCAGTGTGAGTACGCAACTCTAGTTAGTAAACAGACTACTGCATTTTCTTTACAGATAATGCATCCATGTAAACGATGCCCACACACATAACCTGAGGTGTACCCATGCATACACTGGTCCCATCTAGGGACCTTTCCAGAAGTGAATTTCAGCCTCATTCATCCAAATGCCCATCTTACAGGTGAATCATGTCACTCTGTTCATTTTCTTTATTCTCCTGCTTACGTGTAACAGCCCTGAAAATGTTACTTTTGATCATAATTGTAAAATAAAGGTATAAGCCATGGTCAAGAAGTCACAGATTGAGTGACTGTCTCCAGGAATCAGAAAATGAACACTCAAAACTGTGCCTTTGTTTCTACTTAAGTTAATAATTAGTGCATTAGCTCCACAGTTCAATATGAAACCTTATCAAATCTCTTACGGGAAACCATTAGTTAAGTTAAACAACAACAACAACAACAAAAAACCCCCAAACTCACTGCCATTGAGTTGTTTCCGACTCACAGCGACCCAACTGGTTCCCGAGGCTGTAAGTCTTTACAGAAGTAGATTGCCCCGTCTTCCTTCCATGGAGCAAGTGGTGATGGGTTTGAACTGCTGACCTTCCGGTTAGCAGTCAAGTGCCTTATCTACTATGCCACTGTTTAATTGACGTCAGTACTATGTAAAAAGGGAGCTCTGGTAGAATAGTGACTAAGGCACTTGGCTGCTAACCAGAAGGCTGGCGGTTCAAACCCACCAGCCACTCTTGGGAAGGAAGATGGGGCAATCTACTTCCGTAGTGATACCACCTTGGAAACCCAAGGAGGGGTCGCTATGAGTCGGGTCTGACTCGATGGCACATACCACCACCACCACCATGTAAAAAAAAGACTGGCATAGCACGCTTTCAAAAATAATGCATGGGGGATGTGTGGTTGGGAAAACACGTAACACTTACGTTATTTGCCAAAAAAAGAAAAAAAGTATGTCATCTGTATGTTATTTTCTACTATGGACAAATAATATAAATATGAAGTATGGCCCTTTAAAACAGGAGTGGGAACCAGAAATTCAGATCAGAATTACTTGCAGAGACTTTTAAAAACACAAAGTCGCTCTGAACTAATGTTATTTTTTTTTCAAGTATTATATACATATATGAAAACCTCCTCTGGGGAGCTGGGGGTGTTGGAACACAATATAGTATTTAAACCTACTAAATGACACCTGAATATAGTGGAGAAAGTCCAGGCTGTGGACAGATCTGGACTCAAATTCTGACCTTACTACATGACCCGTGCCCACTCACGCCCCCACGTGTGAAGCAGGGATGCCACCATCCTCTGTGCACAGGAGTGCACTGAGATGAAAACTGTGACACAGCACGGTCATTGGCACACAGGTGGCACTCAACAAACCTCAATGCGGCCAAACCCAAAGTTCAGCTTTTCTGTTCATTAATTATCCAGCAATTAATTATCATTAGAATCAATGAAGATAAGTTTGGATATTGCCAAAGAGGACTAAGAGTAATAGGTGATCAATAACTTAATATCAAAACGCACTCCTGTCAATTTGATTCTAACTTACAGAGACCCTGCAGGACACAGAACAGTCCCACAGGGTTTCCAAGGCTATAAAAATCATTACAGTAGCAGACCATCACATCTCTCTCCCACGGAGCAGCTAGTGGATTTGAACTGCCTACCTTTTAGTTAGCGCCCAAGTGCTTTAACCATTATGTCACCAGGGTCCCTCCAACTTGACAGCAGTATTTTAAAATAACCATACCTTTAGAATTTAAATTGGCAGTCATGTTAATATTTTTCTCCCCAAACTACATCCACACTAAAGATAGGATTTTCAGCTATGAATGGCCTATGAAGTTATATAAATCTTTACTGTGCAAAAAGGTCTCTAGATTGTCATGGTCAAAAAAAAAAAAAAAAAAGTAAGGTGTGGGAAGGACAGAGGAAGAGCAAGAAATAGAATAGGAGCCTGGAAGTGGAACCAGAAACAGCTGCGAGGCCAGCAGGTACAGATGCCTCAGAGAAGAGTCCAGAGAAGGGATGAGGAGCAGGGAAGGACGGGTGGCTGTCACGCATCTTGACAAACAAGAATTCAAAAAAGATCAGAAGGCCAGGCAATAGGCAAAAAGGGTCAGGACTCCAGGCAAAGATTTTGAGTAAACGGGACTCTAAGTTC